GGTTATTCACTTCTAACGAGTCATACAAGCATTACAACTGCGCCACATCACGCTTCAGTTGTACTCTGATCATCCATCTTAAGTCACCGTCCTCATTAAAATTTTCGTCAAATATCTAGTTCACAAGTTTAAATCTATTTTCGGATTTTCTTTGACATCCACAAAAAAAAAATCGTTGTTCACTTGATACTCTAAACCTTTCACTTTGCGACGTTAGTTTGCATATAACTCGCTACTCCGACTTGTTCAATACGTCTCAATTTTTTCCTAGCCACTCCTCTATTAATTCACACAAACTGGTGAGCGACTATTCTCACAATATAACATCAATCACTTTACACACCATTAAGACAGTAAGACAAATTTATACCATCCAACACGATCTTGTCTACTATCAACAAGATATTAAGGGTGATCAGTTCCACAATTTGTCAATAGATAGCCGACAACCATACTGGAGTATAAACCATTGTTACCAAACTATAATAGTGTTCATTTAGAACTTGTACTCCAGTCACCTAAAGCACCATAATCTAATAATTTCCAATGAGGTTTATAAATACTCCCACAATTTTCCCTCTCATCTGATCTTGTCGATGAGCCACTAACGCTCAACGTATTACACGGTCCACATTACACTCACTTAGCCCCACACGAAGTTTAAGTATCCTCCAAATCAAGAATTACTTTCTTCATCTCCGCATCATCAGGAATACAAATTTGATTATGAAATCTCAACACACGCTGCACATCTAGCTTTTGTGCTTCTTTGATATTGTCCTGGAAATCATTGTTAATCTTCAACATCCCTAACATAACACTCTTCGGTGTCACTTCGCAAACTAAGCTCATATCTCTGAATTGTTCAATTAATTCCAATTCTTTAACCATCATTGCCTACATACGTAAAGTCTTTCAACGTAAAACATCAGCCACGACATTAGCTTTACCTGGATGATAATTCAAACCGAAATCATAGTCCTTCAACAACTCCAACCATCTTCGTTGTCTCATATTCAATTCCTTCTGATTAAATAAATACTTTAAACTCTTATGGTCGCTAAATACTTCAAATCTAGAACCAAAAAGACAATGTCTCCAAATCCTCAACATAAACACCACTGCTGATAACTCTAAGTCACGCGTAGAATAATTCCTCCCATGAACTATGAGTCGTCTAGAAGCACAGGCAACAACTTGTCCATTCATCATTAGCACACCACTAAGTCTCATCTTAGACGCATTCATAATACACTACAAATGACTCACTCGGATTAGGCAAAACCAATACTAGAGCAGTCGTCAATCTTTTCTTTAGTTCTACAAAACTTTCTTCACATGCAACATCCCATACTTGAAATGATGAACGACTATCCTTTTTAATGCTGAACATCTTATTTCTCAATTTAATTGTCAACAACATATTATGCTTGACCTCGTCTCTAACAACTGAGATAATAACCATTTATGTCCAAAAAGTCTCTAGTTCCGTAAACGACTTCAGAGTTCCTCCATATGGAAATGCATTAACCATATTTCAAAACACTTCATATGATAAAATATGTTTCTATCTCCTCATAGGTTCAAACAGAACACCAACCCGATACTCGGAACATAAGATATGAATTTCCAAAGTTATCCGAAAATGCGAACACTGACGTCATGCAATGACATACTATTACACACCTTACGTTAACATCAAAACATAATTTCTTTGTACCAGTACCAACACTTACCATACTTGAAATCGTACTCATCTCCTCGCATTTCCGACTCTGACTCGCGATTCAAAATATTCCAACAACTTCAACAACTTTTACAATCACTCACAAGGATCCCACGACAAGGTCTACAACAATTTGTCACTCTATCACCGTTCAGACGTCGACATCTTATGTAAGGGCTATCCAAAATGAAAACTTCACAGTCCACTAGCAACGCTGAAACATTGCATCTTTCTAAATTCCATCTTCTAAAAATTGTCCTTATTACTTAACAATCACCTTCAGAAACATCATGGATTTACACTCTACTCGGATATCAACAACCGTTACATTGCTCCTCATCCTTCGAGAAGTAAACATCAATAATGTCTGATCATCCTCCCTCAAGACGTTCCAACTTGATTAGGCTTAGTTTTTTAATTAATTAGAATTATGGTTTGACTTTTAATTAATTAATTAATTAGACCCTAGGTTTTAATTAAAATTAATTATTTTTAAGATTTTAGCCAAATAATTCTCCTAAAATAATTAGACGTTAGGGTTTTAGTTTTTTTAATTAATTAAATTAATTAGTTATTAGGTTTTAATTATCATCCCTAACCCTAAATCATTTTCTAAAAACAGAAAAAAAAACATTTAAATATTTTTCTAACATTGTTCTTATTTCTTTTTCTATTTAAATTCATAGATCAATTGTATAGGTCACATCATCAAAGTAATAGAGTCGATTTATCTTTTCTCGCATTTTTCCTATTATGTAACTGCTCACAAGATGTAATAGCTTAGGTTTAATTTTCAGCATTTTACATTCCACACTTTATTTTTCTGTACATACTTAACTGCTAGTAAATAGGGTTTGTATGGCAAGACTAAAAGCAAATTTAGATAACCCTAATTTTCAAGATTAAATAACTAAAACTAATACACTTTGCACCTCTAGGATAACCTCTCTTGTTTCCTTACGAATATTAGTCATGTCTCTCGAAAGTAGGGATACTTTAGCAAAAGACCCTTGATATATGATATCATCATGGTCCCTTTCGAATAAAGACCATAATTCCTCGATGACCCTTCGAGTTGTCTACGAAATGATCTAGTCCCTTCGATGACCCTACGAGCAAAATGATGATAATCCCTTCGATATAATTGCTAAAGTATCCTTACATGTTGCCTTCGATGACCATACGATGACCATACGCTTGTCCCTTCACATCCAATATATAGGATTACCTACCAACTAATGATATAGATAATACTAGCTTGCTCATAACCTTTTTCACAAACAAATACATTTTCACACGACACTTTCAAACAAGATATTTTCAAAAACACTTTGTATACATTCTTGAGGACTGATACAAGAATTATTATAAAATTAGCCTTACATTGGCATTTCAAAATATTTTCAAATAAATCCCACACACACAAAGTAAATTTTAAAAGTGAGCTAATCAATTAAGAGCCCGTAGATAATTATGTATGAAAAGGGTGCTAACACCTTCTCTTTTCATAACTTACCCTCCAAATTCAAAATCTACCAAAGGTCTTTCCTGTTCTTTTCACGTTTCCTAATTGTTGGATAAAGAAAAGTCAGTGGAGACTCTAGCTATATGCACATTTGGATAAAATCAAAAAATTCAGTACTCACACCGTATTACAGACACCCCCCATTATCTTCAACAACCGTATAAACCCAAGTGTTTCAGGCCACTAAAGATCCTTCTGAACCCAGTAAGATCAACTACTATTACTTTTATGTCTTTACAAAAAAAATTTGAAATTTATTTTCGTGTTTACCCGAAATTTAAAAAAAAAATTAAAATTTTCAAAAAAAATTTCCGAAAAATCCTGTTGTTTATATTCGAAAGAATTAGTTTTCTTAGAATATCATAAATTTCTAAATTTTTGATAAATTACAGCATTTTTTAAAACTACAATATTTTTCGAAATTTCTGATAGTCTTAAAAAAATTATTTTATTTTTTAAAATTTATACCATAAATTTAATATATCGGAAATTTTAAATAATTCATTAGAAATTTCTTTCCATCCAGAAATTTATTTATGAACAATTAGAAAATTAAACAAAAATAAGAATGTCAGGTTCAACGGTTCAATTTGGGGTGGCAAGTTAAAACCTGTCACACATAAGTATCCCTATATAAATGTAAGTACTTCCCCAATATAAAATAATACAAAAGCTCAACTCCAACTTAGGCCGCCATAATTCATACAATGTTGCTAAATTCATCCTTTGTTTCACTTTCTAGTTTCTTCAAACCTCAACAACTACCAAAAACTAAATTTTCTAGTTTAAATAGTTCTCTCCTTCCATGTTATGCTACTAGTTCAAATATTCCTCATAGAAAATCAACCAATTACCAACCCAATATTTGGAATTACGATAGTTTACTATCCTTAAAAAAATGATTATGTGGTAATAACATTGTTTTCTTAATCTAAATTTTTGTTGCTAAATTATTTTTATGTTTTAATGACTAAATAATATTAAACACTTTGTATTTTTTTAGGATGTGCACTACGTGAATAGGGGCAGAAGGTTGCAAGAGGAAGTAAGAAGAATGATTATGCACATATTTATATATCTTTTATTATTCTTTTACATGTAATGTTTTCCTATCTCTGTTATTCTATCGCATGCATCATAACTCTATTTTTAAGATGTATCACTATATGAAACGGATTATACACCAACTTTTTTCTAATAAAAGTATATAACTAGTACAACATAATTAAATGATTAAATAGAATATTCATGATATTAATATGAAAATATAATTCATATTTATCTAGTAGACTGATATTGTAGAGTTAAAATATATTTTATACAGGGTTTGTAGTATAACTTTTTTTAACTAAACAAACTTTTAAAAAAAAATTCTTTATTTAAATATGTGTGTTCTGACCTTGTCCTAATATAGGTCAATTCGAAAATTTATGTCGATTGATCTGACAATGTGAATAATAATCTTTTTTCTTTCTGATTTTTATTTCTTTATATTATATCAGTGTGCTATTTGATTTGAAGTCGAATACAATTTTATTTATTTTAAGTGTTTCTTTTGAAATTTATCATCTAGAGTATTATTTAAAGTTTGTATTCAAAATTTGATTTGTATATAAAAAATTTGTTACTTGTCAAATTTAAAATATATGTTTAACCAATTTTATGTATAGATGAAAGGTTACATATACAAATTTTATAAAATTTTGGCTCAATTTCATTTTTATACATTAATTAAGGTGGTGGAAGGGGATGGCATTAGCTCCAAGGCCAGGCTTTAGTCGTGGCAGGTTAATAGAAAGCTATTTTTTGTCTGTTGGAATGGCACCATTGAATCCCAAATTCAGTGATCTCCATAAAGGTTTAACTAAAGTGTTCTCCCTAATAACTTTAATTGATGACATTTATGATGTACATGGAACTTTAGATGAATTAGAGCTTTTCACAACAGCAGTAGAAAGGTATTTGTTTACTTATTAATTTCCCTTTGAGTAAATTCTTCCGGGGTACATGAAAATATTATGATGTCTGTTTCAGTTGGAATATTGATGCAGTTAAAATTCTTTCGGAGTACATGAAGATATTCTTTTTAGCACTCTACAACACTGTCAATGAATTAGCATACGATGCACTTAAAGAAAATGGACATGACATCCTTCCCTACCTCGTCAAAGCGGTAATATCAAACACTACAAGAAATATCATCTCCAGTCACGTGTTTTTGCCACGTGATTATCATGTGACAAAAAAAAGCCAGTTGCGACGTGATAATCACGTGACAACATGTTTTATTAATAAAATAAAGAAGTCTGATGGTTGTCTGACTTTTAAAATAAAAAAAATGGTGCGACATGGGATTCACGTCGCTACTAAAAATATAATAAAAAATATTTTAATTGGTCTAACGTTCAGATGGATGGGTTTTTGAAATTTTGAAAAAGTAAGTTCACGTCGCAACATTTAAGAGGGAAAAATCAAATCAATACAGACTGACGTGATCAGCTTTTGCACACATGTGAAGAAAGAGAATATGACTGTTTGGATGGTTGCGACGTGAAAGTCACGTGGCAACGTTGCGGCGTGATTTTCACGTCGCTAAATGCTTTATATATATTTAATTGCATAACGTTCCACAACGCAGACAATAGTTATCAAAATTCAAAACTCTTCTTCTTCATTTAACCCTTTTCTCATTCCATCCTTCCATTAAACCCTCTTCTTCTTCATAAAATCTCTTCTTCTCCAATATAAAATCCAACTTCAATTTCCATTAATCCTTGTTTTTTCAGGTAAATGAAATTTAATTTTGTCTCTATTTTATTTACAGGTTTTTATTTATTGTATTATGGGATTGTAATTTATTTTAATTTTTCTTTGAATAGAAGAAGATTGATATAGTAGAAGTAGATTGTAAAAAAGTTTGACAAGAAGATTGAAGGAGTTAGAAGATAAGAGGTATTTTTTAGAATTTTTTTTTGTATTTAGTATATTTTCTGAATTTAGTTAGATTTTAAGTTGAATAATTAGTTAAATTATAATATTATAATTTTCATTAAATATATATCTTGATTTATTTAATTTATAAAAACAGAATAATATATAAATTTTATAAAAACAGTTTTAATATTAATATATATTTTATTTAAAATAAATATAATATAATATTTTATGTATTGATTAAAAACATATAAAAAAAATAGTTTTTTGTATTGAATAAAAACATATTTAAAAAATTGTTTAAAAACTGTTATAATAAAAACTGTTTATGTTATATTATAGAATGTTAATAAAAAAATCTGTTATATTATATAGAATGTATATTAAAACTGTAATATATATATATATATATATATATATATATATATATATATATATATATATATATATATATATATATATATATATATATATATATATATATATATATATATATATATATATATATATATATATATATATATATATATATATATATATATATATATTAAAAACTGATATATAGAATGTTATATATCATCTATATAGAATGTTAAAAAATATTATATTAAAAAAAATTATATAAAAACTGTATTATATGTTAATAAAAAATATTTATATATCATATATATAGAATGTTAATAAAAACTGTTTTATAATTAAAAAAATTATATAAAAACTGTATTATATGTTAATAAAAAACGGTTTTATGATTAAAAAATATTATATAAAAACTATATTATATGTCAAAAAAACATTAATATAGTATGTTAAAAAAATATTTAATAATGTCAATAAAACATTATATATAGTATGTTATAAAATATTATATATAAAAAATTGGTTTATGTATTTAATTATTATATATTATATGTATGTTAATAAAACGGTTTTATAATTAAAAATTGTTTTATATAAACTATATTATATGTCAATAAAAAATATTATATTAATTATTATATATTTAATAAACTATATTAATAGTATATTTAATAGTATATAATAAAAAACATTATATATTAAAAATAGTTAAAGTAAAAGCATATGTTTATGTTTAATAGTATATGTTTAGGATTATTATTAAGTTGAATAATTAATATTTCTAATTAAAAAGGTTTTGATTATATAAATTTACAGTAAATGAAATATTATAGGTATTATCGTAGTTGGATGTACGATAGACTATATCCAGGAAGACGCGCACTTAAACCCAATTTTATAGACGAAGTTAATGGTTTTATCACGTGGACGTTTGCTCAGGAACATTGTTGAAGTGAAGGAGGAGTTATGTGTCCTTGTCTTAAATGTGGATGTAGATATATAATTAGTGACCCAGAGGAAATAACACGTTATTTGCATAGAAAAGGTTTCATTGAAAATGATTGGATTTGGACGTATAATGGTGAAACACTGCCGAGTAATGTACCAGAGACTAGCAACACAGATGCTTCAAGTAGTCAACCGGTTATGCAACCGCCTATGGAATTTGAGAAAAAATTTAATCTGATAGGTGACATGGTTGGTGATGCTTTTGGTGTTAACATGACCTATGATCAACCAGAAAATTTTGACGGGGAAGAGTTGCCGACTGAGGAAGCGCAAAGATTTTATCAGTTGTTGAATGAGATGAATACACCGTTGTTTGAGGGGTCGTCAGACTCAAAGCTATCAATGTGCGTGAGATTATTAGCCTCCAAGTCAAATTGGAATGTTCCTGATCAGTGTTTGGAGTACTTCACAAAAATGATGTTGGACTCAACTGCAACGAAAGACAACTTGCCTGCGAGTTTCTATGATGCAAAGAAGTTGGTGTCGAAGTTGGGTTTAAGAGTAAGAAAGATTTATTGTTGAATTAATGGTTGCATGTTGTTTTATGACAACGAGTTTGGTACTCAAGATGGATCGTCAGAGGAATGTAAGTTTTATCAGAGTCCAAGATATAAAGTTCGCAATAGAGCCATTAACAGTAAGCAAAAACGTGTAGCAGTAAAGTCCATGTTTTATCTTCCGATAATACCAAGGTTAAAAAGAATGTTTTCTTCAATGCACAGTGCAAGTCAAATGACATGGCATCATACAAACAAAACAAGCCCAGGCAATATGCGACACCCATCTGACGGCCATGCATGGAAGCACTTTGATGAGGTACATCCTGATTTTTCCGCGGAACCTAGAAATGTCAGGCTTGGATTATGCTCCGATGGTTTTGCTCCATATGTCCAAGCGTCTGGAAGTGCGTATTCTTGTTGGCCAATTATTGTAACCCCTTACAATCTCCCTCCTGAGATGTGCATGACAAAACCATACATGTTTTTGACGTGCGTCATTCCAGGACCGTCGAGTCCAAAAACTGGAATTGATGTGTACTTACAACCTTTAATTGATGATTTGAAGAGGTTGTGGAATAATGGAGAATGGACTTATGATATATCCCGTAAACAAAACTTTTCTATGCGAGCTGCCTTGATGTGGACCATTAACGACTTTCCAGCATATGGCATGTTGTCTGGTTGGGATACGCATGGCAGAATGGGTTGTCCGCATTGCATGGAATGCACTAAGGCGTTTACATTGGATAAAGGGGGGAAAAGCTTGTGGTTTGACTGTCACCGCAGATCCCTACCATCAAATCATCCCTTTATAAAAAACAAGACAAATTTAAAAAAGGATGAACGGGTAACAGATCTGCCTCCGCCTCGATTGTCACCAGTTGCTATATGGAACCAAGTTTGTGAACTTCCAAAGTTTACAGATACTGGCAAAGCATGTAGAATTGAAGGATATGGGGTCACACATAATTGGACAAAAAGAAGTATATTTTGGGACCTCCCGTATTGGAAAGATAATTTGTTGCGCCATAATCTTGATGTTATGCATATTGAGAAGAATTTTTTTGATAACGTATTTAACACAGTGATGGATGTTAAAGACAAAACAAAAGATAATGTGAAGGCTAGACAAGACATGGAAATTTGGTGTAATCGTAAAGAGTTGGAATTGAAGCCTCAACCAAATGGAAAATTATTTAAACCCAAAGCTTGTTTCAGTCTGATCCCCCAAGAAGCTAAAGCGGTTTGTGGATGGCTAAAAGGTTTGAGAATGTCTGATGGGTATTCTTCAAATTTAGCAAGGTGTGCTGATGCTAACACTGGGAAGTTGCATGGTATGAAAAGTCATGATTGCCATGTTTTTATGGAACAATTGCTACCAATTGCGTTCGGTTCTCTACCCAAACATGTGCTTAATCCACTCACTGAAATTAGTCAATTTTTTAGAGATATTTGTGTGTCAGCTTTAAGAGTGGATGACATCATTAAGTTGGACCAAAATATTCCAGTCATTCTCTAAGTTGGAACAAGTATTTCTGCCTGGTTTTTTTGACTCCATGGAACATCTACTTGTGCATCTTGCATACGAGGCTTATCTAGGAGGACTTGTTCAATATAGGTGGATGTATCCATTTGAAAGGTTCATGGGTGATTCAAAGCGATCCGTGAAAAATAAAGCTAGAGTTGAAGGATCAATATGTGCACATTACTTGCATCGAGAAACTTCACATTTTTGCAGTCACTATTTCAAGCACTTGATGTTAACTCCAAGAATCATAAGGAATCATGTAAATGTTATCGAAAGAAGTCAGTACACCTTATCAGTCTTCGGGCTTCCAGGTCGTCCCTCTAGAAAGAAGGGTGAGCATTGGTTGACCCAACAAGAAATGCAATCTGCACATGTTCATGTCTTGATCAACTGCATTAAAGTTAAACCATATCTTGAGTAAGTATAATCCAACTTTATAATTTTCTTTACAGTGTGAATATAAAATTGATTACCTTGAAACTTATAGTGTGTTTCTTTTTAGGGAATTTAACAACGCCTATTTTGATAGTACCGGTGTACAATCAACATCTGGTGTCATTCATGCCCAATTTCCAACATGGTTCAAGGAGAAATTGTATAGGGTTGTTGCACCGACTCCATAAATACTCCATTTGAGAAACTTGTCTAATGGCCCTCGTCAAAGCGCAAACAAATGGAACACATACTTCGTGAACGAATATAAATTTCACACTCATGAATGGACTGAAGGGAAAAAACCATAAACAGTGGCGTATTTGTGAAAGGAGTTACAAATGGTGGTGAAGATGACTTCTATGGTTTTGTTAAACATATCTACGAGTTAGTATACAATTACTTGGAGTCAGAAAATAAAGTTGTCTTGTTTTACTGTGAATGGTATGATCCAACTAGAGGCACAAAAATAGATAAGACATATGGTACTGTTGAGATTCAAATGGACCGGAGGTACAAAGAGTACGACCCTTTCATAATGTCAAATATTGTTAGGAAAGTTTATTATGTTCCTTATCCTTCATTTGTGCCACATAAACGACGGTGTTGTGTTGTAATAAAAACAAAACCATTGGGTCATATTGAAACTGACGATCTAGTGGAAGATGTTGCTTACCAAGTTGATGAAGTTGAAGTTAATGATGTGATTCCAGATGAACACACTACAAGTTTGTCTGATACAATGGTTGAGGGGAATCAAGTTGATGAGGATGAAGATCATGAAGATTCTGGATCCGAGGACAATATCACATCAGATGACGAGGATGATATGGATGACGAGCATGACGATTTAGAATAGTGAACCTATATTAATGAGAATTGTGTCTTGTAATTTTACTTAACGAACCATCTATTGAATGAGTTAATGAATATGTATTCATCAGAATTGTGCTTTTCAGATATATTATATGTTAAGTTGTATTTTCTATAAATAGGTAAAAATGCCACCCAAGGATAATAAGGGTAAAGGTCCTAGTGATAGTGGTAGGAAGCCCAGGCGTCCAAGGGTAGTAGTATGCCAGTCACCTCACTCAGCCACATGTCCTCCCCCGCAGAGTCAGGTTCATCATATGTTCATGGACAATACTATGCCTTTTACGCTATTACTATCCTCTCAGAGTCCTCTTCAGTTCTCATCTGGGAGTCCATCTTTTATTAATCCATCTGGGGCCTCACCTGGTTTACCATTCCAGCAGACACAGGTGCCCTCATCCTTCCAGCATAATTTTCCATTTCTCACACAGATACCCTCATTCGTGCAGCAGCCTGGAGGATCCAGCACCCCACTTCCTACACAGATGCCCCCATCCGTCCGGCAGCCTGAAGGATCCACCTCTTCACGACCCACACAGACTGGTCGCACCCCACATCCCACACATGTACCTGCATCTGATGATCATGCAGATTCGGATGATGACGATCTTGGTGTGGACGATGATCAGATAGATGGGAGAGATCTTCGAGGGGATGATGATCCGAGTGAGATTCATACCATTGATGGGAGATTTTGGATTTGGCCTGAAGGGAACTCGTAAGTTTCTTATTTATTGATTTTTATTTATAAGTACACATTTCCATTTTTAATATAACTTTATATACTTAATTATGCTAATTCAATTATTGTTGTTTTAGTTTCAGGCCGAGTCGGACTGTTGCCAGGGTTATAAATTATATAATTCAGCAGAATTATACAATTTTTTTTGAAGAGTTTTAGAGAAGTTTCGGATAAAGACGAATGGTTTAAGCAATTTCAGGTATAATTAATTTATTTATTAAGTTATTTTTATTTAAATGACCTTTTCATTATTGTTATAATTTATCTAACTATTTATTTTAATTTCATACAACATTGCAGGCGAAATGTGTTTGGGATCCACTAAACCATAACAAAGTAAAAAAAAATATTTTGGCAGGAGTTCAAGACGACTTTCTGACATGCTACGACGTGTTAGAGAGAATTGGCAACTTTTGGGAATTCGTCCCAAATGGATAGGCAAAGAAGTTTTTGAACAACTTCTTAAGTATTGGGAATCAGATGAATTTAAGGCTAAATCTGAAAATGCAAAGAAGATGAGGGCATCGGAAAAAGGGGTTGCCTTAATGCTGTTGGAAGTATTGTACTGCTGAGCATGCTCGACGCATGGTAATTATTATCACTTTTTAAAGTCATATTTTGATTTATAACTTATATTATTAATTTAAGTTAATTTTTTTATTTAGGCTAAGCGTTTCGGGAGACAACCATTGATGACTGAGCTGGTTACCGAAACTCGGACAAAGAAATCGGGAGGATTTATTGACGAGCGTACAAAAAAAGCATTGGTAAGTAAATTTATGTTTATATATATATATTTTATTTTTTAAGCAATTTTGTGACGTGATTTTCACGTGGCAAGTGAGATGTTGTGGCGTGAAAATTGAGTGGCAATTGATAAGTTGTGGCGTTACAATCACGTGGCTATATGTTTTTTATTATTATTTTTATTTAATTTAATTTCATTAGTTTTACTTATATATTTAACTTGATTTTTTTATTGTATGTGTAGGAGGATTATCAGGCCTTGCTTGTAGAATTTCTGACCCATAATCCTCAGTATACTCCTCCTCTGGGAAAACCGGTTCATCCAGATGTGGATTTCTATATTTGGAGTCAAGTTGTTGGGGGAAAGGGGCCTAACGGGTATTTTTTTGGTGGTGGAAATTTGACGGGCACTTTGAGGAGTGGGGATAGAACTCTGTATCAGAGAGTTGCGGACGGTGAAGGAGGGTCACGTCAAACAAATTTGACACCAGATCAGTTAGAAACGGTAAGACAATTGGCTAGGCGCGAGTCTGAAGAACGTGAGGCGGCATTGAAGGCCCAAATGGAGGCAATGAGGGGTAAACATAATAGAGAAATGGAGGCAATGGCGAAGAGGCAGGCTGATATGGAGGAGCAAATGCGACAATTTATGCAAGCATTTGGTGGAAATCCCAACAATGGTGGCCAAAATAATAATCACCAAAATAATGATGACTTTCTTCGCGACTTTTCCGACGACTCGAATGATCCTTCTGCTTATTTTTATTTTTATTTTCTATTTAGTTTTTTATTTGTGTACTAATATAAATTTATAATCATATTGTATATTTAAAAATATTAAATTTAAATTTTAGTTTATTAATTTTATTATATAGTATATTAATTCTATTATAGTTTTATTTTTGATAATTTGATTTATAATATTGAATTTAATAAATAAATTATAATATTTAATTTATAAATTTAATGAAACAGAAAATAATATTAATTATTATATCAGAATTAGTATATTTAAAACAAAAAATAATTTAAAAAAAAAAGAAGTTGCGACGTGTTTTCCACGTCACTAATTAGTGACATGAAAAACACGCCGCAACACACAACGTAAAAGTAAATATAAAACCTGCTCTGACCTCTGCTCTACTTTGCACTGTCTTTGACTCTATAAAATTTGTTGTGGCGTGAAATTCACGTCGCAGCGTTGTGACATATTTCCCATGTCGCAACAACATTGCCACGCGCTCTCCAGCGACGTGTTTCTTCAAGTAGCAAAAATAAAATTGTGACGTGATTTAGGTGTTAGCGACGTGGAATTCACGTGGCAAAACACAACTTATTTTGTAGTGAAATAACATAAATTACAGAACTAATAAAAAGTTTATTACTTGTACTAATTAATTTGATTTAGTGTTTGATGCAAAATTAAATTAATTACAGTGGTCCGATATGTTGAAAGCATTCCTACAAGAAACGAGGTGGTGTTATGATAAACACATGCCAAAATTTGATGACTACCTCAAAAACGCATTGGTGTCTATCTCAGGTGTTGTTTTACACATACATTCCTATTTTCTACTAAATCATACCATCACAAAGGAAGGACTTGAGTACTTGGAAAATATCCATATGGTGTTGAAGAGACCATCCATTATCTCTAGACTTTGCAATGATTTTGCAACTTCATCGGTAAGATTGATACATAAGATTGTACTTTATTCTCTATGAAATTATGCTCCATCCGTCTTATATTATAAGCCGATTTCATTTTTTAGATTTATTGAATAATTAATGTTTTGTATATAGACTAAATACACGAATTATTCAATAAATCTAAAATATAAAATTTTCTTATAATATGAGACGGAGAAAGTACTTTATATATAGATAATTTTTAATTTCATAAATTTGTTGTAGAATTTGGTAGCCGGAGTTTAAAAAAGGTGAAACAGCAAATTCTATTATGTGCTACATGAATGAAAATGATGTTAGTGAGGAGGTTGCTCACACACACATCCAGAATTTTATTAATGAAACATGGAAGAAGATGAACAAAGACCTAGTTACAAATTCAAATTTCCCAAAGTATTTTCTAGAAACATTAATCAACCTTGCAAGAATTTCTCACTTAATATATCAATATGATGGGCTTGGAGCACCAAAGACCATAGTAAAGAATCAAATAAAGGAGTTAATATTTGAACCCATTAATTAAACTTGTTGAGACACAACTAATATTTTATGTTGTGAAGACATTTAGGATGTCCAATAAGCCCATTAAAGAAAGAAAAATATTATTTTACATGAAACAATTTTATTAATCTTAAGTGGTACATTTAGTATTTCTTTCTACTTCAATATTTTAGTAATTATTTTAAAAAAAATCTTTGGCCTATTATGTTTAGTAAATCCGAGTTGTTTAAATTTTAGGTGAAATGAAGTGAATGAACATGAATGGAATTTTCTGATGCAATTTCATACATACTTTTATTTCACATTGTAATTGCAGTCTGATGTTACTGTAGGCAGATCTATTCAACTATATTATGGCCACAATTGGGTTGGGGAAGCAATTTAAAACCATGTTGCTTATTCTTGCTAACCTATAATCTTTCTTATAAAAGTGAATACACAAAGACTATTTTTGATTAGAAATACTTGTTTTTCTCACTTCTAATGAACATGATGGAACAAATATGGAGAGATCATTATTTATCACAAAGGAGGGTTCTTGTGCAGCAATACACATTCTCGAATAAAATTAGAAGAAAAGAAATAATTCAATAATAAATATACATTTGTATATGTGTTGCAATTGTGGTCTCTTTCGTTTAGTTTTTTAAATATTATCTCATTAGACGAATAATATATTTTAAATAATTAAATAATTGAGGACAGAGACTTCTCATTAAACTTAATCGAATAATCTAACTTATCACGGTCTATTCAGACACAAAACCAAATCAAGTAATTAATCAATAATTAGTGTTTTATAAGAATTGATCATAATATATTTTGTTAATATTTAATTATGTCAATTCACATTTGATTAATTAAATAATTAATCTAACAATCTCCTACTTGAATGACTATAATTAATTATTAAAAATGCTAATTTTAATAATATGATATCAATAATGGCCAAAAACATAACCAAACAAAAGAGAAGTAAGCTTTAGTGTTGTAATGTCCTGAGAATCAGTTGTATCTTCTAGAATTATTTTGAGTGATCTCTTTTGAATCTTCTAGAATTATTTTGTCTTTTTCAGAGTTGTTTCACTCTTTTGGAAAGCAATGGCAATTCATCATCGTCATCAGAATCTTTATTATTCGGATTTTCTTCCTCTTCAGATTTGAGAAATTTGAGTCTTCCTGACTTGACCTTTTCTGATTTAGACCTTAGAGCGATAAACTTAACATTTTTCTGAGATTCATCTTCCTCTAACTCTATTTTGTGACTTCTTAGAAAGCTGATCAACTCTTCAAGGTCCTTGTCCAGAACTTTGAGTCCTGCTACTAAAGTTTGAAATCTTGAGAACATGGTCTCAATAGTTTCATCTTCTTCTATCTTGAATACTTTCATATTTCTGAATTAAAGCTAATGCTTTAGTTTCCTTTACTTGAGCATTTCCTTCATGAGTCATTCTTAAGGAATAAAAAATCTCCTTAGTTGTTTCTCTGTTGGTGATTTTCTCATATTAATGATATGAGATAGTACCGAGAAGAACAGTTTTGATTTTATAATGATTATTGCTTTGTCGTTTCTAACCATCACTCATTTGAATCTTGGGAATGGGAATAGCCTCTTCAAGTATATAGGTTCCTTATAACCGTCTGTAATCAGATCCCAAAGATATGCATTATAATCCAGAAAGAAACTCTCTAGTCTGTCTTTCAATACTCAAAATTTTCTCCATCAAAAATAGGAGGCTTGTAAAAATAATTTTCTTTTTAGTTATTGTTTGCAGGTGCATCCATTGAAATTTTTTCTCACACTAGATCTCTCTACACTATTAAGTGTTTGATTTGAAAATCAATGAAGAGCCGAAGCTCCTGATACCAATTGAAGGGCGATGAAAAACACAAGAAAAAGGGGGCGGGGGTTGAATTGAGATTTATAACAAGATTTTTCTTTTAAAAATATTTTTCAAACTAACTAGAAAGAATAAGACTAAGGAAAGAATAAAATGACTCTTTTGGTTTATACAAGTTCACCTTCAACAAGGCTACTCTTGTCCATCCGCCAAGGTAAATTTTTCTTTAACAAGGACTTAATCCACTAATCTCAATAGATTATAGATGCACGGGATACCCGCCGGTGACTTACAACAACCGTCTAAGAGTCAAAAAAGACACCTTAGCCGTCTCATGTCTACAAACTAACAACCTAGTCACTTGAGACAATAATCAATTCTAGACAGAATTACAATCAACTGTGTTTACAATGTTTGCTTCTAAAAAGAATATTAACACAACAATAAAAATAAAAGCCTCTAATACAAATAATGTGCAACAACTCTTTTTTATTGAGAACTCTAAGATAAACACAAATAATGAGCAACAACTCTTTGTGTTTAATCCTCTAATATCTTAACACAATAATGAACAACAACTCTAGTGTTCTTGATATTTCTCTAGAAGAATATTTATTGATGAATATTTGAATAGTGATTCTTCTTTTCACTTGATGTTTTTCAGTATTTCCACAATTTGATTCAAGCTTAATAATGTTGAGTAATTCATTATTCTTCAAATACTGTTGAGGTCTCTTTATATAGACTTTGAGAAATATACCGTTGGTTGTACAAAAACATCGTTTTCACTTGCCAACTACAGTAACGGTAGTATTTCATCATGGGAGACAAAATAATACAATACGTAAACATGTAATGGAATTTGAAGCGTATTGTCTGTATTATATTCTTCGTGGCTAAGTTTCTTAGGACCTTATCTTCTGATGTTTTACTTTTGGCTTGAAGTAGTAAGTTTGGAAGATACCTCTTTCTGATCTTTGTCCATTTTCTCTTTTTTGGATTGATTTTGATATGATGAATGAAAATGATCTAGAAGATGCTTCATTATTGTAGAGTCAGAGTATTTCAGATAGTTGAATATTATCCTCAAATATATAAGCAACATCTTATTTGATGAACAATGTCTTGTTTCTGAGCGAAAGCTTTTCTGATTCACTATGTCTTGATCTAATCTTGATCTTTTGATAATCAACTTTTCTAAGGTGCATATCTGATGTCTGATTTCTGAAGCAGAAGCTTATATCAACACATCAGATTTTGACGTTGAATTATTTCATTCTGATATTTGAATTGAGCTGAAAGAAATAGCTTATGTCAGCTACATCTTGGTTTCTGATCTTGAATTCATTCCTTTCTAATATTGATCTCTGATATAGAGTTGGAAGCAAAAGCTTGTGTCAGCTACATCTGATTCTGGCATTTTGGTTTCTGATCAAAATCTCTCTATCTGGAAGCGTATGTGATTTATGATCTGAGAGCGGCACTTTTCTGAGAACACATTTAATTCCCTTTCTGACGAACATTCATCATTCCTTAGAGCTGCTGATCTTTCTTTAGAAACGGTCACAATAGTTCTTCTAGTGAGTGAAATGGTGTTTCTGATGATAACTTTACAAAGACTATCCAAAATCTATATATATGCGCACTCAATGAAACTATTAGAAACTAAAATTGTTTCTCATCAAATATATGGGTTATTATCCTCAAAACTTCGAGATTATATTGTAGGCACAAATATCTTTCTAACAAATAACACATAACATCATACAAATTAACTACAAATAATTAATTAAATCAATCGGGGCGTTACAACTCTCCCCACCTTAGAACATTTTCGTCCTCGAAAATTCACTTGATGCGAACAACTCATGATACGACTCTCTCATGTTACTCTCCAATTCCCATATCATGTTCTCTCCAGAAGCACCTCCCCAAACCACCTTCATGAGACCAATCTCTTTTCTTCTCAACTGTTTCAATTCCCAATCTTTTATTCTAACAAGTAAGGTCTGAACTATAAAATCACCGCTTACTTGTACATCATCCATCAGAATCACATGAGACAAATCTGGTACATACATCTGAAGCTATGAAACATGGAATACATCATGCAAATTTGAAATATTATGTGGCAAGGCCACTGTATAAACAACCACTCCAATTCTCTCAGAAAGTTGATACGGATTGATAAATCGAGGAGTAAGCTTTCTCGACTTTAAAGCACGTCCAACATCGGTCACTAGAGTGACTCTTAAGAATACATGGTCTCCTTCTTGAAACTCAAAATTACTTCCTCATCTTATCATTGTAGCTCTTCTTCCTACTCTGTGAAGCTTTAATCTTCTCCCAAATCAACTTCACCTTTTCAATAGTATGTTGAACAATCTCAGACTCAAGCACTACATTCTTACCAGATTCATGCCAATACAAAGGTGTCCTACACATTCTCCCATACAATGCTTCAAAAGGAACCATTCCAATACTAGAATGGTAACTGTTATTATAAGTAAACGCTATCAACGACAAATGACTATCCTGAGCACCTCCTTGCTAAAGAACACAAGCCCTCAACAAATCCTCCAATGACTAAATAGTCCTCTCCGTCTGATTACTTCCCACCATCAAGTCCACCAACTTTACATCCACCTTTAGACCCTCTTTAATGTTTTTAGGAAAATCATTGTTGATCTTCAACATACCCAACATTACACTCTGCGGTGTCAGCTCACAGACTAAACACAAGTCGCTAAACTGCTCAATTAATTCCAATTCTCTGACCATCAATGCAGACATATGCAAATACTTATGACTTAAAGCATCAACCACGACATTATATTTACCAAGATGATAATTCAAGCCAAAATCATAATCTTTCAATAATTCTAACCATCTACGCTGCCTCAAATTTTGAACCATAAAGGTAATGCCTCCAAATATTCAACACAAACACTACTACAACCAGCTCTAAATTATTAGTAGGATAGTTCTTCTCATGAACCCTCAGTTTTCATGAAGCATAAGCCACAACTTTACCATCTTGCATTAACACACCGCCTAAAACCATCATAGACGCATCACAATACACCACAAACGGCTCATTCGATTTAGACAAAATTAAAAATGGAGTTGTAGTTAATATCTTCTTCAGACCAACGAAACTCTTCTCACAATGAATGTCCCA